CCCCCCCCCCACCACCACCACCCCCCCCTCCCCTCCCCAGTTCCAAAATACCTTTCCAAAACTTGTTTCAGACCACTTTTTTATTTGCTTGGCTACACTCCATGTAAAAAGCAATTAATTTTGATCATGTGGAAATTAGTTGTCATATTACTGTAATATGTAATCTGCTTTAGAACAGTTCAACAGGCTTTCATACAAAGCATTGAGAGAAACTTATCAGTCAGCTCTGGCTCGTTCCCTACACTTATGCATTATCATTGCATTAATGTTACTCTGTACAGCATCAGTTTCACTTCATTTTTAAAATATAAGAATGATGCCAATTATGTTCATATATGCACAGACTGATATGCGACTTTTAATTCTGTAAAACTCCAAGAAGCCTATTACATCTGTCTCTTATTGTGGAATGTTTAGGAAACCTATGGCATACTTCTAATACAAAAGGATGTGTTCTGTCACAACTAGCGCAATCTACATGGTCTTAATACAACATGCACATCTAATGAGTGACAGAAAACCCTCAAAGTAAATATTTTAAGTTTTATTTAACTTCCCTCAATTTCATTTAATATTTCAATTGATAAACCTCTACATAAAGTTCCCAACCACATATTGCGCCAAAGTCACTTCAGTTATTTGTAAACAAAGTTAATGCAGTAAATTTTTCTAGACGTTGACTCCAGCTTCCAAATGCTGTCAATATATGACAATATGGTATTTGTTCCTGACACTCCTTTTTACAAAGCATCATTTCATGTAAAGCACATACACAGCTGGTTGATTCACTAAATTTGTTGAAATTTTATAATTCCTTGGGTACGTGACTCCCAACACGTATGACCATTACTGTTCTTCATATCATTGTTACTGGTGTCATCTCATTGTTTTTCAAATACATTCTTTTCAGCTGTTGTCACGTTGAGCTCTTATACACAGCTGTGGTTATTCCCTCTTTAGACTTGATCAGGATTTGCCTAGGTCCAAAAGAAAGGAACACAAAATGTGAAATCTGACTAGTACAATAAAGCAGTAATTTTTCATCAATCAGCACTTAGTATTTAAATTATTAAATACTTCCAATGTTTCTATATCCCGGACTATAGAGCATCTCTATCGGGAAATGAGGGAATCTGTCTAGAAAAACATCAAAATATTGCAGTTTTTCTACTCCTTATATGTCAGCAGTTTTACTGTATTCTGACTCGCTTTTCTTTAAACAAGCATGTAAAGCCCAAAGTGAGAAGATGTCCAAATGATGAACCTGTGTGTGTGTGTGTGTGTGTGTGCGTGTCTGTGTATGTTTGTGTGTGTGTGTGTTGAAGTAAAAAGTAGAGATAAACACATATAAAGAGTCAGTGACTAACTCACATATTGTCTGTCTCTATACTAATGACTGGGGAGGAAGACTCATCTGGGTGCAGTTTCTGGGCAGTCTCTGCCAAGCTGGTGATCAACCCACAGGTCTGACGCTCACCAGTACCTCTTGCTGGAAGTCAGAATAACACCATCAATAAGGAGAAAAAAATTTAAAAAGACCATCCCATCCCCCCTTTTTATTGATTTTCTACATACCCTAATGGAACTCTTTTCCAACTGAGAAAAAAATTGTATACTAAAATCTGAATATGATATATATATATATATACATATCACAATAAATTTGACATTCTATTTAACCATGTTTATTTTTATATAAAAATATCCTAGCAAAATTATTTCATAACTGGGAATAAATATGACAGCTATATGACATGCTGAATATATATAAACCCAATAAGGTTGATTTTTCTATTCACATATCTTGAATACTTATACATCATTTACCTCCCAAACAAAGCCCTTGCTTATCTGCACACAGCACTCCAACAACTCCTGGGTTGTTCATCCTAGAAGGGAATAAAGAAAGTCATCTTCATCTGAAATAAAACCCTAAAATGCCCCCAAAAGACATCAATGAAATTTGACCAGCATACTGATTTTTTTCTAAGGTGCTTGCTTGTTTTTAAATGATTTAAGTGTTTAATTCCCCTGAATTCATTCATGAGAACTGCCTGAACTAATTTGTGTTGTGTTCGAATAATTATTCATGTTGTACCAGCAATTTCATAAACATATTTAATGACTTGTTGATTTTGTTGATCATCATTTGTTGAGGTTGTGCCTATGTGTATCCATCACTACGGTTTCCTACTAATAGTACTATAACAATAGCCCAATGCTAAGTATATGTGCAGTAGAAACTAGTAGTAGCTAGGGGGAGGGGCGATTTATAATTGCAGACAAACTTATGTTTGCATCGATCTTTACGTTGGCTTCCGTTTGTAGAACAGGCAAGCACTTTCATATACTTTGGTATTTGACGTGTTAACTTGTCACTTACGTTTCATCTAGCTGTCTTTCCAACGCTTTTTCCATCTTGACTCCAGTACGGAAACAGGAAGTCACATTGCTCTAAGTCAGACGCATGCGAAAAGCGACTTCCGTATATGGACGAGTTTACTTCCTAACTCTCATGTTATAGACTGCACAAAAAGTTTTGAAAACTGGCGGAAAAAAGCATTCAGATTAGCTGAAATTTGATATCCATATTTTAATTTATGATTTGTGTCATATAATAGCCTCACATGGTAGTTATCACAACCGATTTGTGTTTAAAATAAATACTAATCGCCCTAACACCCCTTTCATAAAGCCAATTCTGCGTTAGGGTTGAGAGTATAAATGAACCCAGGTAGACCTAAATTTAGAAAAATAATCACAGACTTATCTCGTAATGGGAGTGGGTGCTAAAAAGTTCAGAGAATAGGTAAGGATATACATGGTGTGGTGTCAAATAGCGTAATTAATTACTGTGTAAGCTTCATTTCTTGTATAATTGTGGGACTGGTTAAATATGTAGCCTGATGAGCTCAGGGGCCAAAACTTGATTAAGTTGATCTTAAATTGTGTCTGCAGTGTCTGTTTATGTGTGTTGTACACGTACGATATTGAAATATTGAAGAAATTTATAGATATTTCATAGGTTTCGGCATCATCTAATGAAGTTCTCGCAGTATTTAAAACTTGAGGAAAGAAAATGCCATAGAAAATGCTCATGAACGCTGTAGTGTATGCCAATATAAACAAACTTACAGCACCGAGTCTCTAATTAAGTGTTACAAGTAATTGCTAGAAATACTGATTGTAACTGCCAATGTCATTGTACATTGTTTTAAACTGAGACAGAGATGCCCTAGATAGTATATATTATATTAAATACTGTTTATATAGTTGTCTTCAACACATAGACTGGGTTCCCATACCTAGATCGATCTAATGGGATCGGTCCATCTCCATTCTCCAAGGGGTTTCTCCAGTTGCTTTCAGCTTACGGGCTTGGATGTCTGATACACCTACTTAAGCTGTTAAAACGATAGTTAATTACCCCCTATCAGCTTCAGTAGGCATAACAGACATCTAAGCCACTTAAGTTGATTGCAATTTAGCGATAATCCCCTAGGAGATAGATCGATCCAAAGTTAGTACGACAGGTCTGGTAATGGTCCCATACATACTGTACTACTACATGTAAGTTGGCAGAAGCTTGGACAAAGATGGGTGGGGTTACAGTACTCCCTGATACCAGAGGCTTCTGAAATGAGTATGAGCCCCTGTGGAAATTCAAACACCCAATTTGATGGTTTGTAACATAGACAGGGATGTGCCCTCCTCAGCACCTAGGTGTAAAAATGCCTGTCTGGTGAGGAACGTGTTCCTCGTGATTATTTGACATTGCACAAAGTGCAAAATAGTAATTTTGTAACAGCTAGACGACTTAGTACTAGCGCACCCTGTGATCAGAGAATAGGTTTACAAAGGGTATATGCAAATATACCGTAAAGCTTCTTATGTATAAATCCACAAACCCGCGATGGATATCCATAAACCCCAAATGGATAAATCCACAAATGCCTGATGGATATCCACAAAGCCCTGATGGACAAATCAACAAAGCCCTGATGGATATATCCACAAACCCCTGATGGATATATCCACAAACTCCTGAAGGATAATTTTATCCACAAACCTCTGAAAGGTTCCTCTAGTTATAAAATGTAACATACTACAATTCATGCAGGATGTTATTATTGCACATCCATATCATGCACTACATGATTATATGTTATAAATTGATTTTATTGCAATTATCAGCTGTTAGTATACATGGAATAAAGATGTCAATTTGGATCTTCAGTGTTCAAATATTACTTCAACCCCTGCCTGAGTGTCACAGTGAGTAACACTTATCCCTATCATCCTGCCCACCATCATTATAACAGAGTCCTGTACTATTTGGTGTGCTCAGCCCTTGGATTTAGTTTCTTTGGTGAGCTTAATGTAATGAAATAGTCTGTTAATAAGTAAATAGTCTGTTTGCATGGGGTCTGCTAAGTTAAGTCAGCTCATCTTGCCTGGAAACACAACACTGGAGTTGTATTATTCACAGTGTGTGCACATGCCTAAGATGACATTTTAAATGTCTCACTGGAGTTCAAGGAGAAGAAATGTACGAGATCTGATTGATCTACAGTAAGATATATAACAGAAGTAACTTACATGTACATTGCAAGCTTTCCACTTATTCAAATGTCTTATCTATCAAAAGTTATCAAATTTTGGTCTCAATGTTTAAAAGGGATCATACATCTTTAACAGACCTAGTAACTGACTATTCCCAGCATTGTAATAATCTTTTTTTCTGGTATTGTTGATGATTGTTACTCTACTAGGATATACCATTGAAAAAAAATTAATCTTTGTTGTTGGAAAACATCTCAATAAGTGATAGTGTACCAAGGTTTAAAATGTGTTTTGAAGGGGGAATGAATTTCAGTTCACTGGAAACCTTTGCAGTTGCATTTTTCTGTTGAATGAACTGGGAGAAGTTGGCAGTGAGTATTAGAGGAAAAATATCAAAAACGTGATCAAAAAATATTTTGTAGAGTGCATTGCACCAATTATTTCTTTCTCAAACCCTTGATTTATTTGATTATTGCCTCCTGAACTGTTTGTTATCAAGCAAGTTTGACTGGCCAAGAAAGGAGAGACAGATGGCAATCAAGATTGGTAGGCTTTTAATGTATTCAGATAGCCTATTTCAAGCTCATTATTTATCAGTGAGCAATATTGATTTTGCATATCTGTGGGCTTTGCTCAAAACAGTTTAAGGAAGAAAAATGCATAAGTTTTAATGTTAGGGAAGAGATATCTGATTGTGACTGTCCTTGCCCCCCTGCCCCACCCATCCCCTTGCTGTCTATAGGTTTTAAACTAGTGGTTAAACATGATGGGAGACATGGGGATTTACAGACTGCTTTTGAGCCTCAAACCTGCCCCCAAAAACCAAGTCATTAAATTGTCAATGTTAGAAATCAGAATTTGTGTTTAAACAAGTTTAGGAGCTACTGCAACTTACTTATAAATTTTATTTCTATTTATATTTATATTTTAAATCCCAGTTATTCATTATTTTATTTTCTGCTATGATTATTAATTTATTTTCCTGAAGTTTCCATTTGACCAAGTTTTCTTTTGTGAACAAGCAGATCAGTTTTCTGTGTTCTAGTATGTCACCTCCTATGGGATTCTCAAATGGCTCATCTGGTGATTCATACCTTTTATCATAGCAATGCGTGTAAATAACAGATTGGTATGCTTCAAACCTTTTTCACCTTGAAGCATGAGTCACTGTTTTGTCAAAGAAGACAGAGCAGTTTCATTTTTATTATTCACAAAGGTAAAATTTAATACCAAATCACATGTGCTGTGAGTTGACAGGTTCTTTGTAAATTAATAAATAGAGGAATAACTTATCATCTGTAGAAAGGTATACAGGTATATTAGCTCTTAATTTTAAGAGAGCCCAGATTATTTTTGTTCGATTGTGAACATACTTTCAATTGCAGTTTTCAAAAAAAAAAAAAAATCAATGATCTTAGTTTATAATTTTTTTTCAAAATTGTTTCTATGTCAGCAATGCTAAATTAATTTTTTAAAGTTACAAAATCAAGTTAGTTTCAGTTTTGATTGGCATGTTAACAGTTGGCAGGTAATGATGGTCAATGTTGTAATTGTAAGAAAGAAAAGAAAAAAATTATTATTATATATTATTTGGAATTTATCAGTAACTTTGCAAATAACACCCTCACCTCTGTTAATTAACACTCATATCCTCAGTCAAGGTTAAGAGAATATTGGACACAATACCAATATAATGGTCAGTTTTACAAAGTACATAGCCATTAAAGCCCATCATACTGAACTGCAAATGTCATTTATGGTCTTATGCTTGTATCTGAATTGAACTGTTTTCCCCATAGCTTTGCCCATGTATCAGTACAAGATGATAGCATGCTGATTTGAATCGCCCTGTGATTGTGTTTCTGAATGAACAAGAAGGCCCAGGGAATGAAATGAATTGCTTTTATAATATCTTTATACATTTTGTCTGGTTCATTGTTTCTAAATTGACATTTTAGTCATGGTTTTTTAGCATGATGAAGCTGTAGACATTTTGAAATAGTCTTCATCTCAGGTTTTGCCAATATTGACTTACTGAGTTTTTTTTTTTTTTTTTTTTTTTTTTTTTTTTTTTTTTTTTTTAGTTAAGAGAATAGCTGGAGAAATTTAAACCAAAATGATTCATTTCTTATATATGCTTATTTGCCATTGATGTGCTCGGATATTAGTTCCATCTGTTTATTTACAGTAATAGTAGTAGCAAAAGGGATAGTCCTAACTGATTATTACCATTATCATTATTTTGGTGATTGGCTGAATCATATAATTCAATAATAATCCCAATCAGAAGTTATTGAAACACAGGAAATTAGATATATATTAATAAAAGTCTTATTTCATATGTTCTTTTTGGCAATCTGTCATTGTTTAAGGTATCCTATCCAGGCTTTTGCTGCCAAATCTAATTTTCCTTTTGAAAATCTAGAAAGTAATTTTCTCCCTCTCACAAATCATTTCTCAGTCTGTCCCTACACTTAGATTCAATGTTTATACCATTTTCAAGTAATAAATTTAGTCCTATTTGTTTGCCCTTACCTTTAGTATTCCTTGTCCTCCTATGTGTTTCATGAGCTAGTGACAGCAGGCCTGTTATTTGAGGGGTATTATTGTGTTAAAGGGATAAATTAGGAAAGATTACGTTAGTACAGTAAGTAGCTTTGTAGGATTTGAAGATAGAAAATTTGAATTTAAGACATTTCCAAAGGTGGATAGCATGCCTTTAATATGTAGATAATTAATCGTAATAGAAATTGCACCAGAGTTAACCTTGTCATAAAGTGAAAGAATTTAAATTTTATTTTATTATTATTATTATTGTTATTATTTTAGCTTTTGATATGGAGGGTGGCCCCAGTGAAAGTTCCCCTGGGGCGGGGGCAGCAGGATCACTGGGGGAGTGGTATCTCAGCCCAAGCGACTCAGACAGTGCAAAACCTCCTACAAAACGTGCCAAGGGGCGTTCAAAGGTCTGGGAAAAGGTGGCGTGGTTTACAAGAAAAGCCAAGGGCAGTCGGGAGACTCAGTCCGAGGATGGAGCCATGCCAGAGGGAGGCTGCCTAACGGATGACCCCATGGATGTTGACCTTTCACCCCTACATTCAGCAGACGATATTTTAGGGCTGAGCAATGGATCCCATGCTGGATGGATGGAAAGCAGCTCGTCCAGCGATGAATTCTTTGAGTTTGGTGAGCAAAGTGGAGTGCGTAAGTCACAGCTCTATCCAAACAGTGAGATTGACGAACAGAGCTGCTTGAAGCCGAGCGTCGCAAGGGCATTGTTTCACCAGTTAGAGGCTTCAAAGATGAACAGCAAGCCCTCCAAGTTTGTCCGGTCCAGGAAGAAAAAGGCATTGTCCATCTCCAAAAGTCTTGATACTGAAAGACTGAATCCAGAATCAGCCCTGAGTGAAAACCCCAGTCTACCTTTGAGTTTCTCCGTGCCCTCTGACCTACTGTGTGTATGTGACCAGAAATCTAACATATCATGTCCCCACAGGGCAATCAACCAAACAAAGGTCAGAGGTCATGTCAGAGGTCATGTCAAAGGTCATCTGGCTCTGGCTGAACCAGGCATTGCAGCCCACAGTGATAGTAGTGGCTTCTTGCCAACCAGAGGCAGTAGAGACCTTAATGCTGCCGCTGCTACCACTAGTGCTGAGCATACTGAACACCTACTCATTCCTCCATCTCTTTCTCAAGTTGGCAGGCGCTCTTCCTTTGATGGACTCCTCACTATGCATATCAGAACTCCGTCAGTGTCACCTGAGTTGTCCTCGTTAAAGTACAGCAGCTTACCCAACTACTCCAGTAGTCGGGGATGGGCGCGGCTCCCCGGGGGGAAATCTCACCTTGGAATTTGTGATAACCTGTACCACATGGCCAGCCAAGCTGGGCCCAGTGTTTGTAACTGCCAAGTACAGGACGACGAGGCAGAGACAGAGGATTTGACCAGGAGTATCAGTGGTGGCAGTTTTAACAATGACAGTAGCAGTAACAATGATAGCAGCAGTTACATTATCGATAATAACAGTATTGACAGGGACAGGGCAGGCCTACTTAAGACAAAGGCAGAAGTGGGACCACTCGAGTTTAAAAAGAGGAAAGATGTAAGTACACTTTTTGAAAACCCAGTTAGTATACAGTGTCAGTAATATATGACTGTTGTCAGTAGCATATTGTTTGCTGTTCTGAAGAAACATTGCAAAGAGTTAGAAGTGAAAGAAGTTACTTTAATGTACTAGTACTAAAGAATGACATTCTTTTGGAGGAGGGGTGAGAGACATATTGCACATTCTGAATGATATTTGGAGAAAAAAAAGATAAAACAAGAATCATGATTGTTAATTTAAATATTGAAATATTTTGAATGTGTTGATATTTTAAGAAGGATATATACATTTTAACTGAAACCATCATCTTCATTCTAAGGAAAAGAAAAAGAAAAACCTCGTTTAATTTTCACCACGTTTTGTAAATTATAATCAGGAAATGTATAAATTAAAGGTTTTTGTAACTGGAGTCTATTGAAAATCCATTTAATTTCCAGGCTTATGTCATTTTATGTTTTCATAGAAAGCCACTCAGTTGGCTGTAAACATGCATATGTTAGTTCCTTAGCTTGCACGTTGTTTAGTCTACAGAGTTGAATTCTTCCAAAATAAGTTCAGTAGAAATGAGTAGTGAAGGCTTCCCAGATGAAACGCTCAGGGACACCGGCTTAAATTAACTTGAGTTCAGAAAGACATTTCCTACACTCGTGCTGCATGTCTGACTTTAGAACTATTGATTTAGAATACTAGTATGTGAAAACATTTTGTTTTACATGTTAATTTGGAAATGTCAAGTTGTATAAGGTTCCTGATTTAGCGCTGTTTCAAACAAATCTTCAAATGCCCCGACATCAAAGTCAACATTACTTCAAAGATATCTGCTGTTTGCCTGTCAGACATTTCTAATGTTTCCTTGGTGCAGTGCAGTAGCCAGGTAAATACTAAGACTATAGTGGGTTTCTTCTGTCATTTTTCCAAAGGGGACTTGTTGAATTAGGTTCGAGTGTGTTAAACCAAATTGTTTGACATTAAATATATTTTATAAGGCCATTCCACATTTTGTCTTGACCCTTTTTAAATAATTGCCCCCCTCTTTATTTTTTATCTCTTCTAAGTAAAGTAGTAGAAATATAAGGTGTTTTATCACACAAAAAGTCTTTTAACCAACAACCTTAAAGCCTTTTTTTTTTTTTTAAATACATTTTTTTGCTTGCATGACAAAAGTCAAACCTCTATTTCTGCTATTTGAGAACTTTTGAACTTATCCAACGATTTATTATCTGTGTGGCATTTCAGGCAATCTTTTGGTTGCCACCAGGGGGCGTTGGTTGTTAGTTTTCATTATGAGATAGAACCTCAGGGTATCTGGACCGGGAATTCTTGGAAGTACAGGCTGCTCTTGATGTAAAAGAATAATCAGTTGTTGGCAAGATTCATGTTGTATGTATATGGGTGGTTTTGTGTCACGCAATTGCTCAGACACCCTATAATTTCTGATTTTTTGGCTGCCTTTATTGGTTGGTGATGGAGATTGATTAATAAGTTTATATACATGCTCAAAACTGTAACACCATGTTGACCACCAGATATTATGTGAAAATGCCCTTAATAATGTGTGTTAGATCTTTATATAGGAAATGAATAAAGAGATAAATTTCCTGGAAATTGCATCAGTATTACATCTGTCACCAATTACAGAAACCCTATACATATTTGCTGTTGAAATTATAATCTATAAAACAACTGTTTTTGAGATCTCAATTCCAAGTCTAAAAATCTGGAAAATATTTAAGCAACTGTCATGAAAGGGGAAGAAATGATGACTGAATTGTTACGCTCTTACGGAGATGAAATAATTTTGGCCATGGTTGAAAGTTCAAACATTAAGATTTTTACTTTAACTTACCTGATACCCACAAATCTGCAGTTAACTCTAACCCTTGATCAAAGATTTTGATAGAAACAGACATGAGTGTTTTGTAGCAGTGGCATATCCTAAGTCACCTGTCAGTGGTTTCCATGTTTCAGGGCCGTTGCCATTTACTGTGTTTACTGACTGAAATTTCACCTGCACAATGTAAAATGTTATTTTTACTCTGTGCCATTCATTACTGTACATTTTAGAGATATGGCAGTGTTAAATGTGGTGAACTAAATGTTATGAGAATCGTCAAGTAAAATTACATTACATAAGTGTCGTCTTCTTGTCATTTCAGACAATCAGTGTGTGGTTTGCAGAATTCAGCGATGAACAAAAGAACATAATGTTAAAAGATATTTTGGTAAGATGATTGATGAGAAGTTGGTTAAATGTGCTGCAGAGCTTTGAGTCATGCCTCAGTTTTTGTTACATTTTAATAAGGAAATCAATCTGACTGTAGAATGTGAATATAATCAAATATCCCTTCTTTCAGATGTTTTTTTTTTCTTTTTCCTGCATGAATTAGAAGTAGTTGCCTGCATTTGTTCTTGCCATCAGCAACAGCATGTGCACTTTTCTTTTTAACGTAGCACATTGAACTCTGGGTTGCCCTTTTTGCTTCAATTTTTTTTTTGCAGTTGCCTTAAGAGTTATAATGCATACAAAACAAGAGAGATTTTTTTCATTGTTATGTAATGTAATTTTGGTGAATTACATTGCCATTTTTTTTTTAATGAATATCCTGTATATGATGTTTTCCTTCATATATTCAGGTAAATTGATTACAAAAGTAAAGTACAGTATTTCAATTTCTATCAGCTTAATTTCCACTCACTAATTTCCACTCACTAATTGACTTACTGGTATCATTATGGTATTCCTCCTGTTTAAAACGAGTCTCAATCACTTGTATTTGCTTAATTTGCTCATTGCACCAAAAACAAATTCTTAAATACATTACTGGTACTTTAATTGAAAAACATTTTTTGGCATAAAAAAGTTAACAGTCTGTCAGGAATCAAATAAACTTGCAAAGGTCAGTCATAAAAACTACTTGTTAATTTTTCCTGCAGCTTGTCATGAAAACTGCCTGTTAATTTTTCCAGCAGCTTATTCATGTGTCAGATCTTTTGGTTTAAGTGTGTGCTCGTCTTGTCACTGATTGCTAACAGCAGACTGCAAGTCTGCTCTCAGTGACTATTGTGGAATGTGGTTTGATTAGAACTGGTGAACAAGCTGAGCAGGCTGTCAAATTTCTGAGAGCAATTACTTGGATTTGTGTGTACATTACTCTTCAGTTGTGGCAGATCCTTTACTTTTTGCTGTGACGGATCTGGTATATGTGCACAGTAAAAATCAGCTGTGGTAACTTAATAAAATAATGGACATTATTCTTGTGACAGGATTGGTCATGTCAAAAAAAAAAATGTAAAACCATTGAAGTTTAAGATGTGAAAGTAAAAAGTGCAGTTTCATTTCAAAATTGTGATCAACAACTGTTTTTAAAGTCTCTAAAGACATCCATAACTAAGCTGACAACATTGAGAAATTGAAATTTTAGACAAGTCTGTAAACTTAAATAAACCAGCCAGAAGAGCTGCCAAAGGGAGCTGGGATGAGTAATGACTTGAAAAAATAATTATTATATCAGAAATCGAATACTTTAAGTGCTTTATCGGAAATGTGGAAATCTCAGACTTCAATCAATAACTTAAATTACCTTCTCAATTCTGGGCAGTTATGCTGTATGCAGTAACTCTTATGTTTTGTCATGGCTGTCACTGTCATAGGAACTTGTATATATATATATATATATATATATATATATATATATATTGCTCCTATGTTACAAAATCAATATTCCATGAATTACATATAACAATTGATTATTTATTAACTTACATATTTTTCTTTTTTGTCACAATTGCAGGAATCCTGTGGATTGCCCCAGATGCATTTACTCTCAGTGAAAGTAGGACCAAAACTCCACGCTGGCTGTCCAGCCAACTGTCAGGATGTCTTGTCATGGTTGCCGTCTAACCTAGCGCTCTATGTTATGTCTTTTTTAGACCCAGGTAGGAATATTTTCTTGCTTTTATATATAAAACTTATATGAAGGCAAACTTTAAAATAAATGATAATAATTTCATGTATTCCACCATGATTGTGCACTGCTTTCTTAACATTAGCCATTTCTTACCTTTAACGAGAGCAAGATATAATGTTTTCCTGTAAATGAACTAACCCTGATTAATCTTGGGTTAAACTTAAGTGAATTTTTACCTTAAACTTAGGACCAACTTATCACGCAGATTTTTGGGATGCAAAGCCCAGTGTTTGCAATGAGCTAGAATAGAATAATATATGATTTGTACTTTATTTTTCCAGAGACCCTGTGCCAAGCCTCTAAAGTGTGCAGGAAGTGGTATATGCTGTCTAGTGAACTGTGTCTCTGGAGGCACTTCTGCAGCCTGCCCCAGTGGAGACTCTCCACAACTGGAGAGCAGAAACAGCTTATCAATAATATCCTGCCAGATGGCACAGTTCATGTAAGAGACATATGAAGTATTTGTATAGATCTAAATGGTGTATTTAACTTGACTAAAGAGAAAAAAACACTGGAGTCAGGTGTCTATGACTTCCAAATTTTGTTGGGAAATAATGAAGCCATCGATGTGCTTTAATTATTAAAATAAATGGCTGTTTAAAGTTTCATGATTTTGGTAAATAATAATGATCAGATGTCCTTTGGTTACAAACTAAGATATTTTTATTCACAAGAGATAGTATACTTTTATTGCATTAAGTTTGAGGAAGATGGCTGGAGGCACATCAAAATATTAAAATGGCTTTTTTTTTTTTTTTTTTTTTCCAGTGGAAGAAAGTTTTTGCAGAAAGATATCGTCTGAGGAATAACTGGCTCAAAGGTCGCTGTCATGTACGGACATTTGAAGGACACACACAAGGTGAGGTCAAAATGGCTGTCAAAAGCCCCCCAGATTTGATTGCAGAATTTACCTCCTTGATGTAGAATCATTTTAAAATATTTGACAAAATTTTGTTTAATTGAGTCTCTCTGGCAAGAGGAAACTGCAAATATTATCATCTGAGTATTCAAAAAGTGAACTGTCAACCCTCATGAATATAATAAATTCAGCCAAATATTCCTTCATGGTATTGCCATTAGCAAAACAAAAAACTATAATTAAGAACTGATGGCTTTGCTATGTACACATTGTGGCTTAATTTAATAACTATTTTGTGCTGTCATTCAAAGTTGTTTTCCTTGCTTGTAGGCATATCATGTGTTCAATTTGATGACACTCGAATAGTGAGTGGATCTTCAGATAAAACAGTCAAGGTAAGTAATTATGTTATCCTATGATACCATGTGATAAATGTTAGATATCGTTATTTCAAAGTGTGTTTTCTTTACTCATTATCTGTGTCAGTATGGGAAATTAATTTTAAATACTTAATAATATATTGATTATCAATATTAAGTTCAACTGGATGCAAGGAAATAACTTTTATTTGGTTTTGACGTAGAAAAGAGCTTGGGTTTTGGCTCTGATTTAAAGAAGATAAAAAAAGTTACGAGTGACAGTCGGTTGCTTTCTTTCAAATCTGGGGAAAATGGACTTATACAATTATTTATATTGGTCAGACCTCATTCAAATATTCTTCAAGGAAAATCACTTTGTATACTCATATATTCTACAAATATTTTGTCTGTCTTTCAAGGTGTGGAACATCAGGACCAACACCCCTTGGTCAGTTCAGACATTGGTGGGTCACTCTGGCACTGTCCGCTGTCTACATCTGGATGGGAACAGACTGGTCAGTGGGTCAACTGATAGAACTATTAAGGTAAGGAGGAGAGACCTTTAAGGTAGGATTTGGGGGAGGGGGGGGTCTATGAGGGAGAGATGGAAAACCATTTTTATAGGGTGGAGGAATTAAAGGAGGAAGGGGGAGTTTACTCAAGACACGCACCTGAAAATATTTAAAAGAAAAATATTTCTTGGAACAACATTTAAGTATTTGGTTATGTAAATGTTTGACATTGTGTAAAATCATGCTTTTTTGGCTATCAGTGTAATTAAGTGTGATGACTGTAAAGATATGACTTGTGAGTTTCATCATATTTGTATAAATATTTAGTTCTTAAGATTATCTTTGAAAATTGTACATTCATTGTGCAAATAACTCCCAAAAGCAAAAACATGGATTTAATTTTAGGAAATGATTGTTATTTATCACAACAGTAATGCTGATGATGATGAACTTGTAGGTTTGGGATTTGTCCACGCAGCAGAGCTGGTCCAGTATTGCCTGTAAGGTGACCATGATAGGACACACAGACACCGTCAGGTGTTTACAGGTAAGTCTTTTAAATATTTTAGGACTTTTAATATTAAAAACATAAAACTGCATTCATTCCAGTCATTTTTATTTGAAATAGATACTTTGACATATGTCCTCAATGAATTTTTTGGACCAAGGCCTCACATAATACAGCATGTGAAAAAATGTCATGTATCCCAGGAAAAAATACTTTGAGCTGTAAATTTTTTTGTAAAAGGAGACTTAATCCAAATTGATCTTTTTTACCCGAGGAAACTGGAAATGGTGTGAAATTATTACTGATTTAAGCTGAAAACTAAATCCTATATAATGGGTTGACTTTTCAGGTGGATGACGAGAAGGTGATAAGTGGGTCATATGACAAAACTCTAAAGATCTGGGACATCAAGACTGGACAGTGCAGGCGGACACTCAGGTGGGAGAAGTTTTGTCTTGTGGTGTCTAATGTTGTAGTTTGAGTTTAGATATAGGCCATGTTAAGGTTGGTTTGAACAAAAAATGTTTTACACTTAAAAGATACGCTGAACACATTTGAAAATGGCCCAGTCATTTTTATGTCTAAATAGTTTGCAAAGCATTGTATCTATTTCCAAATCAGATCTTAGAGATTTAAAATCCTTTCAAATAAAAGTACTTGAGGTCCATATTTTCTTCTGAAATGCCAGGAAGACATGGTGGTCTAGATTATTTTAATTTTATGATAACTATGGGACTAAGCTGTTTAAACTAAAAATGATACAAAACATAAAATCAGGATGCAGGGATGGGTTGAGCAAGAAATAAGAAAATTTCCTCTTTTTCACCCAAGGAAATTAGATATTATATAAGTATTCATCAGAACAAGCTGAGGTGAAGGTTCACTTAAACTTCCATCCATGATCTATAAATGAGCAAAGTTTTCATTTCTTTGTTATCATAATATAGATTAAAACATGTGGGCTTTACAATGACCTTTATTTATTTATTTATTTATTTATTTATTTATTTATTTATTTATTTATTCCATTTCATTTCAGAGGCCATGATGCTGCTGTGCTGTGTGCACAGTTTGACAATAGGAAGATTGTCTCTGGTTCTGCAGACAAAACTATCAAGGTATAATCTTTCTCTTTCTCAAAACTGAGGGCCATTAAATTCTACCTTTCCAACTATCATTGAGCATTATAGTTGGCAGATATTTAATTTCATTTTTAGCCAAAAATAATTGAAAACTTGATAAATTATGTACAGATAATATTCAATACAACAGACTTGATGTAATTTGTCACCTTTTAACTCTATTAACATTTATCACAAACAAATATATTGGAACAAATTTTTATAATGTGAAAATATTTAATATTCCTGTGGTTGAAATAGATACGAGCATCGTGTAAGTATTGTCTTGACATTACTTGAGTAAACTTTAGTCTTAAAGCATTTTGGATATGCTTTTTCTGCTGTATATAAAAAAGACAAAAATATAACGCTTTGACTTTCTTTTAGATCTGGACCTTTGACGGCAGCTGTCAGATGACCTTGGAAGGTCACCAGGACGCCGTGACCTGTCTGCAGTTTGACAGTAACCGTATCATCAGCGGCTCACTGGACTGTAACCTCATGTTCTGGGATATGACCAGTGGTCAGTGTGTTAAAACCATCGACTGGAAGGCGGCCGAGGGGCACACCAGGGTGGTCAGGTGTCTGCAGGCGGACTCCTGGCGACTGGTCAGTGCCTCTGATGACAGGACACTGAAGGTAGCGTGCTTAGAATTTCTTGGATGAAACCAGATTGACTTTTTTTGAAAAATATTTTGCTGATGTTTGTAATGTATTGATAATCAATTTTTACCTTGCACTAAGAAAAATGCTTAGCTTCCATTTAGGCTTCCAATATGTGGTTTGGATATTATACTCAGCCATTCNTTCCAAATTCAGCTTCTAAAGTCTACTTTAAGCTAAGAAATATCAAAACAAATATGATCGCTATTAATGACCTAACCTCCGTTACGAAATTACTCATTTTTCATTTGAACATTGGATATGTGTGTGCTCATTGATCAATGCTCATATCATAATAGATTGATTGCACTTTATTCATAAACAAATAGAATGATAAAAAAGAAAGTCTGTCCCCAATTATTAATAAGATATTTAAATTGGAATATCTCAGGCTTTGTATTTATAGAAAACGAGCCACTTATTGTCAATGTGTTTGCACCGCATTTTCTATAATTGAAGAGAAATCTTAAATGGGCAATAATATTTTGAATACATACAAAATCTTAATAATTGAATCAAATATGGAGCCTGTGACCTTTGGCATGATTGAAATATAACCTAATTTAGATGTTACCTAACCTCCGTAACGAAAAAAATACTGTACCATGTTTACACGTGCATATTTCTTTAAATACAGTAATGGTGTGTGTTAAAATTCTTCTACTACTCTCTGAATACCTCTTCATCAAAATAATATAAAAAGTTTTCCAGTTTTGCAAAGTTCATATCACTGCATTTCTTGTTTTGGAATTGTACCCCTTTTCGTGGAATGGCCGTACTATACACATCATTCTTTATTCTTTCATAAAAAAGAGCTTTAAAAGAGTCCAACAAGTTGAAATATAACTGCATGCTGGGGATGTTTAGATAGATCCTTTTTTTATTGTATTTATTTATTTATTTATTTTTTTTTTTTTTTTTTGGGGGGGGGGGGGGCTTCTTGATATAATTGATTCATAACATTTGTAATAATTTTTTAATGAAAAAAAGCTCTTTTGCTTATAATTAAATGAAAACATTCCATTCAATTCCAGGTGTGGAATCTAGAAACTGGCAAGAGACTAGTGACTTTGAGGCACCACACAGATGGTGTGACGTGTCTTCAGTTTAATGACAGTGTCATAGTGTCAGGGTCCTATGACAAAACAGTGAAACTATGGGACTTCAGCTGTGTATGACACCAGAACAGAGGGAGTGTTTCACACTATAGAAAAACAAATGTGCTTCAACTCAGAGAGTTCATTTATACATGTGGCACAAAATTACAGTTTTTTTTTTTTTTTTTGTTAAAGCTGAATGCTGTGCATTGCAGCTGAAAAGCAGGGTATTATATAAAAAAAAAAAGAACACAGGTTAATGGCAGATTCACCATTTTCTCCTCCCAGGTATGATATAAGCTCACCAAGCCCAAAGTGGAAGATATAGTGCAGTTGCCTTCATGTCCCAAGTTTGTCTGTCTTCAGAATGTTTTTATTCATGTTATAATTTTATTTTATTTATTTTATGCGTCCCATAGATACACTGCAGATGACTGCAGCTTTATGTGTTATGAAAGAAATCTGGTTAATTTGTTACTGTACATTTAAGGCATCTATAGTTTTACCCTGTAGGTAGTAGAATCTGTGTAACAGATTAATCAGGTGTATTTGCACATGAATAGGTTGATTGAAATGCATTGCCAAATAGATCTAGCCTTGGAGAATTTTCAGTTTCTCAATATGCACTTTGGTCTGATCACTGAGTAAGTTAATAATGGTGTGTGACAAAGTTTGTATTATAATTACAATGAGTTGTATTTACATGTGTGTATATTTGCATATTTTGCATACAAAATTACGTGGTCAATGTCTACTCCCAACAGACCTAAGTTTTTTTTTTTTTTCCTTTGGTCCATTGAATCAAGGACGTGACTTGAATGAATAATAAAATAACTAACTTCAGTAATAGAAGTCAATGCATTACGAATGTCTTGTGGTCACATACATCAGGGCGTATCATTGTATATGTCTTTCTGCTGCTGTGGTACATGTTGCACTATTAAAACAATATAAAGCAGGAGAACCATGAGTTTAATTTGTGGTCATTTTTACTTTAGGCATATATTATGATCTTTTTTTGTTGGGGATTGGTGTATGATGACAGTTCTAAATTTTGAGTTTAACAATGAAGAACAGCACAAAATTGGGGTGAAAACTTTTTATGTGAAGTTAGTCTTAAATACAAACGGAGCCACTGAATGCCTCGATTTTATGTTGAATTTAGTGAGCCTTGCGAAGCAGTCAGAAGCTCAGGGCCTGGGCAATGTTTCATGCGCATATTTGGGACGAAGAAATGATATGTAGTTTCTCAGTGCACGTATCATTTTGAGCGCACTTCTTGTCTTTACAAACGAAAACGACAACATACCAAGACTAACCCCCATGTATATTGTACCACTCGACGTACATCTCTTCACATTGTTAAAAAAATTTAAAACAAATTGGTTTGTGAAAACTGCTAGTACATGTACATACTTTTGAATACGAGTATACTGGGCTTTTGAGGCTTCTGTTTGTCTAGTATCATTTTGTATGGGTTGAACTGCTGTTCCTTTAGGTGAGCCATTTAAAAAGCATTGTGTTCAATCAGTGTAAACAAAATGCTCTGGTTGCTTGCCTTCTTCACTGTAAATACTAGTGCAAAAAGTAATACTGATCTCTCATATCACTTGCGTGAAATAAATATAAAAAAAAGACATACCAGTAATAAACCTTTTAATTATAGCCGCTTGATTTATCAATGCGGAAAAAAATGGCAGGATCGAGAGCTCCTACTCTTCCTACAGCAAAGCGACTTGGTCAGTTGCAAACAAACCAGGATCAATTCAGCTGCTCAGAACCCAGTGACCCTCCGCCGCTCTTCTCGTCTGAATAATTGATGATAATAATATAATTTATGGAGAAACGATATGATTTATTAAAAAGCGGCTTTATATCATTTTTATAGCTTCTGGTTGCCAGAATTGTTTTTGAAAAGCGACGTTAACGTACTTCCTGTTCACAGGATCAGTGAGCGAAATAGCAACGCATGTTTGTGTGTGTTAAAAGGATAGCTGCTAAAAATCTGATTTCCTCAAAATTAGTATCGGTAACTAACTAATCAAATTTGCTTGGCCTTACGTTGCAAGGCATTCTAACTATCAAAGCTTACCACGTCGGACCATATAGGCTGAGTATCTTAAAAGTCCGTCCACGTCAAGAAAAAGTTGTGAGACATATTCATTTCAAAAGTGTTTCATTTTTAGAACAATATCAGAGAGAAAGGCCGAAATCAGATGTATGCTGATGTGTCTGGGGACACAATAGGGGAGATCAGGGCTACATGCAGTTGGACCCGGAGTAAGTTAAAATGTCATCTTAAAAATATTTAGTGCACAGATTAGAAACTATGCTTGATAAATTCTAGGGTGCCACATGAAAAAGTTAGTATCAAAGTTAGAGAATAAAAATAATTATTCTTTTAACCCCAAAAAGGAACATACGTTACTATCACAAATGGAAAACTTTCAGCTACGGTAGCGTTTTACTCACTTTGAAATTCGATCAGCACTGGTTTTGTGCTTTAATTTATTTTTTACAAGTAGAACGTTGTAAAAGACATAAAATCTTCTGCATGGAGCGATTAAAATTATTATTATTATTATTATTATTATTATTATTATTATTATTATTATTATTATTATTATTAATTTATTTATTTATATTTTTGTCGCTGAATNGCGTTACTATCACAAATGGAAAACTTTCAGCTACGGTAGCGTTTTACTCACTTTGAAATTCGATCAGCACTGGTTTTGTGCTTTAATTTATTTTTTACAAGTAGAACGTTGTAAAAGACATAAAATCTTCTGCATGGAGCGATTAAAATTATTATTATTATTATTATTATTATTATTATTATTATTTATTTATATTTTTGTCGCTGAATATTATAAAAAAGGCAGCATGCTGACAGTGAGAAAGAGAATTTTATGAATTATTTTAATTCGTGACGCAAAAATTATGTCAGAAATGTCAAACTACACATAAAAACGATATTTATGTTTCAGTCGACAGCAGAAAATCCTGCTACATATTGCACCAATTGCGTGGACAAGTATCAACCCCCCCCCCCCCCTTTTTTTTCATATATATTTCTGGGGAACATGCGTTACGCATACGTTTTAGCCATGACGCAAAGCCCCATGAGTTACAGTTTTAAATACTTATAGAGACATTTTTTTTCGTCAGTTATTATTTACCATTGTGAAATGCACCTCTCTATTGAGTTCAGGTGTGAAGAATGTGAGTAGCGCTAGCAAGAGAAATTTGCCCCATACAACATAAATTAGGAAAAGTCGTAGGCCCTAGTGCTTCGTGAAAAAAATGCCCAAAAGTTGATAACCCCGTCAAATTGCTATCTTGATTATTCTTGCCATGGTTAAATGTGTGACAAAGTGCAAATAAGAAGTAAAGCAATTTTTTAAATTATATATGGCCATCATGTTTATTTCCTTTGCAATCAAGACGAAAGTGATCGCAAGCTTTGGATTGGTACTATCTTGCTAAGTGCCATTACAAGATGCTAAAAGTTGCCCAATCAGTGAACGATAAGACCCTATAAAGGTGTTTCTCATAGCAACTGTAATTAAAGAAGGCATTGCAAAGCGGCAGTACACACGTTTACTAGAAAGAAAGGAGAAACTAGGCCTACTAGCCCCCAAACAGGTAAGAAACATGTGGGAAAATGTAGGCCCTACAGTTTTTTGGCCTATCTAACATGCCTGCACAGATTACATAATAATTAAAAATGGAAGACGGCGTGGTTGCCTGCCGACAGCACTTCAAAATGAGTAGGCCCTATATATCTGTTATAGCGTTATAACCAAACAATGAAAAATGAAAGGAGACACATTCTCATTAGTACAACCAGTGATTGTTCCAATGTTTTTAATACGGTGTCTTCTTTTCACTTTTGACAGCATGTTAATTACATCCATTTTTTTCCAAGTAATTTTCTCTTCAGACTTGTAAAGACCATAAATCATGGAAAGATATTTAGGTAACTTCTTAACAACCATTTGTTTACTTTTCAGAACAATGACTGATAGAAAGGCTGTAATCAAGAACGCTGATATGTCTGAAGACATGCAGCAAGACGCTGTTGACTGTGCAACACAGGCGCTAGAAAAATACAACATTGAAAAAGACATTGCTGCCTACATCAAGAAAGAGTTTGATAAGAAATACAACCCAACTTGGCACGCCATTGTAGGACGTAATTTTGGCAGTTATGTAACACACGAAACCAAGCATTTCATCTACTTCTATTTGGGACAAGTTGCCATCCTCCTCTTCAAGTCTGGTTGAGCAGACCCGTTGAGCCAGTTGAATAGTTAGATAAGAAACTGACAAGGACCCTGCCTTTAGGCCTCTACATACATCAGGATACCTTCTATCTTGACATAGGTTGTAACTACTTACACATATGCCAGGAAACCAAAGAAGACAATAGTGCCAGTAATTGATGACTGACTTGAAATAATCAGCTATTCGAATTATTTCGAATGATTGAAGCTTGCAGACAGTGAAATCGAGTCAGACTTGTGTCTTATTTATATTTTTACAACTTTTATTAATAAAGACTTCTGAATAGTGATTTGCAGTGACTCTTTATGAAACAAACAAATAAAATAAAATTATAAGATAAATATCTAAGATATTCAATTTAAATTTCAATTTTTTTTTGACTTTAGATAGTTATTTGCGTGCACCTTTCAAAAATAAAAAATGGGAGATTCATTTTATTTGACAGTAATCAGTAGCCTAGGCCTCCACATCTAGCTTGGCACGTAATGGAACAACAACAAAGTTTAAACGTACACGTACAGCCGGTACAGGTATACAGATCCGTCTGAACAGAGTAGGCCTAATTTTCATTAGCTAAATACGAAAAATATAATATAAAATAAAATAAAATAAAAAAAAAAACAATAAAATACAGATGAATCCTAAATTTACCTGCTATGTTCGTTTAACATCATATATTTTAATTTTTTTCTGAAAAACAAAAGTAAATGTCGACTAATATCGGCCCTGTTTAGGCCTACAGAAAGTCGTGAAATATCGTCTGGCCTTCTCTCGATAACGTCGGGAACTAGGCCAACAGCTTTGATTTATTGCGTCATGCTTAAATGCGTGTGAAAGTGATAGTAGAAAAGATGAAATAATTTGCTTTAAACATATCTCTGTTTCCATCCACAGCGAAATGTGAAAGGTGCAGGTGAGAGTAAAACAGTCTAAAATTAGATTGATGCGCCTGCAAAACACTAGAGGAAAAATGTCCATTACCCCTATGACTATATCATATGACTATATAGTTAATATTGCCGAGGAAAAAACGTTGAAAGATAAGAGTATGAATGTTGCCATAATGTTTATTACAATTAACGATTTTTAATTTTTCTCATTTCCAACCAAAGACGTACGTGCGCATGTTTCGAATTGGTTCTATCTTGCTAAATGCCTCTGTAAGATGCTGAAAATTATCCAATCACATTAAAGTAATTCTGAATATCAACCAATGAAACGGTTTCTAATGGTAGGTTATGTAATTAATTGTACATTGCTTGTGTTCCGAAGGCAACCTGAAAAAGAAAGGTCTTGCACGGCCTCCTCTAGCAACGGCACAAAAGGTCAACTTATTCTGACAATACATTTAACACCAAAACAGGTAAGAAAAGACTCATTTTCTACATGTCGACCAGAAGAATCGTAAATTTTTGAGTATCTGAGCTCTTGGCTCTAAAAACGTTCTTCTGCTCTGGATTCTGTCATATTCTAGGCTCTTGAAGCAATGTGAAAATTAAGAAATAACGAAATTAAAATATTAAAATAGCACCTTTCTCTGAGATGCGAATATTAATTCTTAATAATTGGATTTTTGTCCTTTAGCTGTCAATCAAAATTGTGTTTTGGGATTATATTCTTTCACGNTATTATAAAAAAAGGCAGCATGCTGACAGTGAGAAAGAGAATTTTATGAATTATTTTAATTCGTGACGCAAAAATTATGTCAGAAATGTCAAACTACACATAAAAACGCTATTTATGTTTCAGTCGACAGCAGAAAATCCTGCTACATATTGCACCAACTGCGTGGACAAGTATCAACCCCCCCCCCCTTTTTTTTTTTTTTTTCATATAGGCCTATATTTCTGGGGAACATTCGTTACGCATACGTTATAGCCATGATGCAAAGCCCCATGAGTTACAGTTTTAAATAGCCTACTTATAGAGACATTTTTTTGTCAGTTATTATTAACCATTGTGAAATGCACCTCTATATTGAGTTCAGGTGTGAAGAATGTGCTAGTAGCGCTAGCAAGAGAAATTTGCCCCTATAACATAAATTAGGAAAAGTCCTAGTGCTTCGTGAAAAAAAAATGCCCAAAAGTTGATAACCCTGTCAAATTGCTATCTTGATTATTCTTGCCATGGTTGAATGTGTGACAAAGTGCAAATATAAGAAGTAAAGCAATTTTTTTAATTATATATGATAATATGGTCATCATGTTAATTTCCTTTGCAATCAAGACGAAAGTGATCGCAAGCTTTGGATTGGTACTATCTTGCTAAGTGCCATTACAAGATGCTAAAAGTTGCCCAATCAGTGAACGATAAGACCCTATAAAGGTGTTTCTCATAGCAACTGTAATTAAAGAAGGCATTGCAAAGCTGCAGCACACGCTATTACTTGAAAGAAAGGAGAAACTAGGCCTACTAGCCCCCAAACAGGTAAGAAACGTGGGAAAATGTAGGCCCCTACAGTTTTTTGGCCTATCTAACATTTAATAGGTCTGCACAGATTACATAATATATTAAAAATGGAAGACGGCGTAGTTGCCTGCCGATAGCACTTCAAAATGAGTAGGCCCTTTATATCTATTATAGCGTTATACCCAAACAGAATGAAAAAAGAAAGGAGCCACATTCTCATTAGTACAACCAGTGATTGTTCCAATGTTTTACGGTGTCTTCTCTTCACTTCTGACAGCATGTTAATTACATCCATTTTTTTCTAAGTAATTTTCTCTTCAGACTTGTAAAGACCATAAATCATGAAAAAATATTTCGGTAACTTCTTAACAACCATTTGTTTACTTTTCAGAACTATGACTGATAGAAAGGCTGTAATCAAGAACGCTGATATGTCTGAAGACATGCAGCAAGACGCTGTTGACTGTGCAACACAGGCGCTAGAAAAATACAACATTGAAAAAGACATTGCTGCCTACATCAAGAAAGAGTTTGATAAGAAATACAACCCAACTTGGCACGCCATTGTAGGACGTAACTTTGGCAGTTATGTAACACACGAAACCAAGCATTTCATCTACTTCTATTTGGGACAAGTTGCCATCCTCCTCTTCAAATCTGGTTGAGCAGACCCGTTGAGCCAGTTGAATAGTTAGATAAGAAACTGACCAGGATCCTGCCTTTAGGCCTCTACATACTTCAGGATACCTCCTATCTTGACATAGGTTGTAACTACTTACACATATGCCAGGAAACCAAAGAAGACAATAGTGCCAGTAATTGATGACTGACTGTTTAAATAATCAGCTATTCGAATTATTTCGAATGATTGAAGCTTGCAGACAGTGAAATCGAGTCAAACTTTTGTCTTATTTATATTTTTACAACTTTTATTAATAAAGACTTTTGAATAGTGATTTGCAGTCTTTTTGAAACAAACAAATAAAAAAATAATAATAAGATAAATATCTAAGATATTCAATTTAAATTTCAAATTTGTGTTTTTGACTTTAGATAGTTATTTGCGTGCAAAAAATAAATAAAAAATAAAAAACGGGAGATTCATTTTATTTGACAGTAATCAGTAGCCTAGGCCTCCACATCTAGCTTGGCACGTAATGGAACAACAACAAAGTTTAAACGTCGGTACTGGTGTACAGATCCGTCTGAACAGAGTAGGCCTAATTTTCATTAGCTAAATTTATACGAAAAATATAAAATAATAATAATAATAATAAAAACAATAAAATACAGATGAATCCTAAATTTAGCTGCTATGTTCGTTTAACATCATATATTTAAATTTTTTAAAAACAAAAGTAAATTTCGACTATCGGCCGTGTTTACAGAAAGTCGTGAAATATCGTCTGGCCTTTTCTCGATAACGTCGGGAACTAGGCCAACAGCTTTGATTTATTGCGTCATGCTTAAATGCGTGTGAAAGTGATAGTAGAAAAGATGAAATAATTTGTTTTAAACATATCTCTGTTTCTATCCACAGCGAAATGTGAAAGGTGCAGGTGAGAGTAAAACAGTCTAAAATTAGATTGATGCGCCTGCAAAACAGGAAAAATGTCCATTACCCCTATGAGTATATCATATGACTATATAGTTAATATTGCCGAGAAAAAAAACGTTGAAAGATAAGAGTATAAATGTTGCCATAATGTAATTGTTTATTACAATTAACGATTTTTAATTTTTCTCATTTCCAACCAAAGACGTACGTGCGCATGTTTCGAGTTGGTTCTATCTTGCTAAATGCCTCTGTAAGATGCTGAAAATTATCCAATCACATTAAAGTAATTCTGGATATCAACCAATGAGAGGGTTTCTAATGGTAGGTTATGTAATTAATTGTACATTGCCTGCCGAAGTCAACCTGTAAAGAAAGGTCTTGCACGGCCTCCTCTAGCAACGGCACAAAAGGGCAACTTATTCTGACAATACATTTCACACCAAAACAGGTAAGAAAAGACTCATTTTCTACATGTCGACCAGAAGAATCGTAAATTTTGAGTAAAGCTCTTGGCTCCAAAACGTTCTTCTGGTCTGTATTCTGTCATATTCTAGGCTGTTGAAGCAATGTGAAAAATTAGGAATAACGAAATTAAAATATTAAAATAGCGCCTTTCTCTGAGATGCGAATATTAACTGTTAAAAATTGGATTTTTGTCTTTTAGCTGTCAATCAAAATTGTGTGCTTTGGGATTAAATTCTTTCATATTTTTCTGTTCAGACTTGTGATTCATATGAAGATAAATTTTTGTAATTCTGTAACAAAACTACTTTCTTTTCTATTGCCTGAATAATATATATGAACATTTTCATCAATCATCGCAATAAAGGGACTAATCAAGGATTTTTTTGAAGGAGGGTGGATGCAAAGCCGATCCTACCCCTTCCCCCAAAAATGTTTTCAGAATACATGTATTTTGGTGGTGATTTGTATGGCAAACTGTGCCATTTGGAAGGTTAAGACCAATAAATCAGCTTCTCAAAATTCTAATTTTAAGAGGGCAATATTAATGTGCTTCTTTTTCAGAAACCAAAGGAGGGGGGGGGGTCAGGACCCCCCTGACCGCCCCTCTAAATTTGCCACTGCAATCAGCTATTGATTTCACATTTTCTTTTTCAGAACAATGTCTGAGAGAAAGGCTGTAATCAAGAATGCAGATATGTCTGAGGACATGCAGCAAGACGCTGTTGACTGTGCAACACAGGCCTTAGAAAAATACAACATTGAAAAAGACATTGCAGCCTACATCAAGAAAGAGTTTGACAAGAAATACAACCCAACTTGGCATGCTATTGTGGGCCGCAACTTCGGCAGTTATGTGACACACGAAACCAAGCACTTCATCTACTTCTATTTGGGACAAGTTGCCATTCTGCTTTTCAAGTCTGGTTAAACCGTCGTTATTTGCTGGAATTATTTTGTTTCGCAGCCAGTGTTACTTAATAATTACATGTACGAAGTATTATCATTGGATTGTTTATGAGTAAGACTAAACAATACAATCAGAAAGTACTTTTGAACTGAAACCTGTGACTGAATCTCTGTTTTACATGACTCATCATGGAATTTGCAAAAGTGGAAATGATACTGTACATGTGAAGCACATGGAAAATGGCTTTAATTTAATTTATTAAGAACGTTGAAGATTGTAATTCATCTGCAATGCATGCTTGTGGGTGAATGGTTATTACATCATTACAGTTTTACTTTTACCTCAGTTTTAATCAGTGGAAAGTGCCATTTCTTTTGATACATTTTATTGTTTATAATAAAATGACAAGAGTCGAGTTATTTTTGTTGTAGCTTGTTTATTAAGTTTTCTATTTATTTCATTTTCTCTGACTTCCAGAGGGTTGTTTTAATCTATTTGGAAAAGAAGTATAGATGAAGAGGTGCTCATAACATGAACATGTGCTTTAGTATCTGGATTAGCCATAAGGCGCATGTGTTTTAATGATAACGTGTTACGTTAATAATTGGTGAAATAAATTAGTTGTTTGCAACAGCAATTTTTTTCCCTATTCCTGTTTGGTATAGTGCCCAACACACGAGAACAAAGTAAATGGTATGGCAAATGAGTTACTGTTATCTAGAAACTCTCCAACAAAAGTGTTTTTGCTATTTCATATGTAGATCTAGCCTTAATGAATTTTGAAGAACAAGAGTTCTAACAGAAGAGCTTATAAAGATTTTTCGATAATCTGCTTGATCCATGGTATGCCCCAACCAAGGAGTTTTCTGTTGAGACTTCTTGCCCCAACCTACACCTTAGCAACCGCCTTCTTAGACGTGAATTCTACTGATTTATAACACAAAATTTTGATAGTAAGTTTATAAAGTTTTGTGATGAATATACGGGTGTGAGAATTCAGTTATGTTTTGATTTGGTGTTGATTTTTGCCTTTAACCCATTTAGGCAGATTTATGGATTCCAGCGCCAGTAATTGTGTTAGATGTGCTAACAGAATGTACGGAATTTACCTCTTTTTTGTTTGGAGGCTATAATGTGTTGTGTTGACAATTTTGCAGGGGTAGACCCCTTGGATGATCGACAATATTAGGCGTAAATTTTACCATTCAGTTCACCAGGGATGGCAAGCAGTGCTGCAGTACTAGAAGGGGGAGGGATTCTACAACACGAACCACTCCAATGTCTGCAGGAATACCGCCTCCTCGTCCCAGAAGGTACTTCTGTATCATACAGTGTTTGTGTGTGACTGTGCCAGTGTGCGTGCGTGCGTTCGAGTGTGTGTAGGTGTGTGTGTGTTTTTACTGGAGATTCGACTTATATTCATTTCGTTTTCAAGTTTTATGTGGTCAGTCTGGAGATGAATTTTTTAAGCCATTAAGACACAGTACATGCATTTTTCATGTAACAAAATTTCCCATTTTCCGCCATCAAACACATACATGCATGTATTCACCTTTTTTCTGTTCACACTTCTTCGTAATAATATTAGGGACTTGAAATTAATGCACAGATAGCCATATATCTGTTATTTAATTTAGAGAAAAATACATTCATGTTTAAATGACACTGTTCGCAATTAACATTTTTTGAGTGAGGTGTAAAGTCATTTGAGGTATATAATATCAGTACATTAATAATTCTTGGAACCATACAGTCGTCTATCTACACAAAAAAAGGATATAAACAAAAAATAATAAAATGAAAACCAACAGAATGCACCTTTTGAGCTTAAAGAAAGTATAGCAAATGTTTAATTAATCCCACATTTTTCATGTTTTTCCAGTGGGTGTTGGGAACAGCAGGCTTCATGTTGCAGCCAGGCTAGGTCGACATGATATGATAGCAGAGGCCGTTGCGATGGGGGAAATGGTGAACGTTTGCAACTTCGACGGTGTAACCCCGCTGCACGAAGCATGTGCATGGGGGCAAACAGAGTGTGCGCTCACCCTCTTGCTTGCAGGAGCAGATGTAAAGATGTTTATTTATCATGTTATTGACTAAAGCATTAATGCATGATTATTCAGACTTGAAAAAAAAATATGAAAACAAGTAGAATTTATTTTAATTGTGACAGCATTACTTCATAAAGTTGATTATGATAATATGTTGTCTTGTGTTTTTTCTTCTCTTTGCAAACATTTGATTAGAGATAGCTGCTTTCAGATACACTTAAGTCAGAACTGACTTGGCCTAATTTTATAAGTAAACATGCTTTAGCAAACAATTTGGTTTAAAACAAATATGAGTGAAAACTCTGTGTGATTTTATACATCAGGGATCAGATATAAAGCTTCATTCTACGTAATTTTCCCTTTTAGGTTAACCCCTTAAAAGCAGCACTTTTCTCTCTATCTTCACTGTATTCTGTCTTTAGCACTGATGTCTAGTTATTTCTCTTCTACCTCTTAAGGTTAATGCCAGAAATATAGATGCCGCCACCCCGCTCTGTGATGCCAGTTCCCGTGGTAGTATAGACTGTGTACGACTTCTTCTAGAGAGAGGGGCCAGTATCAACCCCTGGGCTGTCAATGTGTCCCCTTTACATGAAGCTATGCTGGCAGGTAGGTGTTGTCACAATGCACCATGTGTATCCAAGATGAAGGACACTACAATCCCACCTCCCCTTACACACACACACACACATATACAATTCCAATTTTTTACCCATAATTTATTTACAGGCATTATAATTGAAGCAAACCATTTTCTTCCTCTGTCCACCATCACTCTCAAAATCCTGAATCCACCTCTTGAGCATTAACCTTTTTTGAAAATAAAAAAATTGAATTCCATTATTAATCATTAGATATTCAGTGTTTTAGCATTTTCACTTTGGATGTGTGGCTTGCAATGTCTTTGTAATGTAAATTAAAATATCCTTGAAAAACCTTCTATTATTCCCCCCTCTACTAGAAACTAGCTAGGGCTGGATAGAACTCAATATTTCTGCTGTTTAAATAAAAAGACTAATTGTATCCTTTCTAATACTATAATAGAAGATTATATCCTATTTCCAGGTCGCTGGGAGGTGGCATTAATACTGATAGCAGCAGGGGCTGAGTTAGAGAAAATGGACTGTCATTTTGGAACCCCACTTCATGTTGCTGCTTCATTGGGAGATGTCAACTCAGTCAAAGTTCTATTAAACTCAGGTGCACTTCTTCTGTCTTATCCATCTGGGGTTGAATTTGGTTGAGATTTTCTGTCTAAATTCAATAACATTTAGTCTTCATTATATCTAGACAAGTGTGTCCATCGGGGTCAGTATTTTGAGGCTTAATTTTCCACAAGACTTTTTTAATGTATACTTTTAATTCTCCACCTTTTGTCCATTGCTACTGTAACAGTGAAGGCTTTCATATTTTATCCAAAAATACGTATGCAAATTATTCTTGACTGGTACATGTACATAAAGCATAAACATTATGTGCTGATGAATTTTGTGCTGTACAATTGTTCATAACACAGGGTAATTCATGCCCAGAATATGTATTACTTTATATTATTTCATAATGAGATTTAATTTGTAATTAATATAAGCCACACTTAGTGTCAGACTGGGGTGTCATAACATATTCATATATTACAATTTAGGTGCTAACGTTAACGCCACCAAGATTAACGAAACAGCCTTACACATGGCAGCTAGAAAGAACGACGTCACACTTATCTCTCTTCTCCTAGAATATGGCGCTGACGCAGCCATGAGAAACAACACAGGGCAGAAGCCTAGGGACTTGCTTGCAACTAGTAAATCTGACTTCCAAGAGTGTGCTGCCGTATTTTCCTGGTATGAAAGCCACCCAAAGACGCTGCTTCAGATCTGTAGACTTAGCATACGGCGTTGCTTAGGACTGAAAGGTTTAAGTTGCGTGCAAGATATGCACCTTCCTTCACCTCTGAAAACATATTTACAGTATGGACAGTGTGGATCGAAAAGCACCTGCGTCTACAAAAACTTGACTTGAGAATATAGTCCCTGCACATTCATCTTACAATGTAGATATCAGGCCTGCAGGCAGCAATTTCAAAACAGTGGATCTTTAAATTCTGAAAAAATTGACCTTTTTACTCACTTGGTTGGCCCCACTTGAGAAATTTTATAGAACCTGATCAAATTTTGATTCAGAGCAGACCTTTTTCACCAGGAAGGTTGGTTCTTTGACCCCCTCCCTAACCCCCCCCCTCAAATTCCCCAGCCTACAGGCCTAAGTATCTCCTTACCCTCGGTGTATTTTGGATGCACAAGTATATATTTGTTAAGATTAAATCACTAAGTCTTAACAGCTGATGTGAAAAAACTCGTCTCGGTCTGTGAAAGAAACTATACTAGCCACATTTTTGCCAAATATTTTTGATTCTTTGAAAATTCTCAAATTAGGATCAGCATTAGATGAGCATTACATGGAACATCTCTATTTGTTGACAAGCACAGCTTGACTATAACTGCACATTATGTGGCACAGACTCTAAACATTTGGTGTGTAGGCATTTGCTAGTGGATTGAATGTGTTCCTAAATGGCACTACCTCAGTGAGATTTAACAAAGAACTTGCCTATTATTATTATTATTATTATTATTATTTTATTATTATTATTATTATTATTATTATCCCATGTAAGCTGGCTGTTTTTCTCAGTGACATGGAGCCTGTCTTCTCACAAGTGAACCCAGGGTATTTTAAAGAAAAAAATTTTCCTAGCTCGGATTGGCAAAAGCTTAAAAGGGGAATATATTATAGACTAAAATTGTACTCCTTTTGAAAATAACAGATAGTAGATTATGTAGCTGTTCACAATAACAACTAAACTGTATTGGTTTAATATACATTAATCTTTGTATCACATTATCTTTTTTGATTAAATTTACCACTTATGGAAAGCACAACGCAACGGAGCTTGCAGTTATGAATGTGTTAGAGAAGTCGGAAGGTGTCTCAACATCCCATTCAATCAACAGAAGCAATACCAAAACAATAGCTACAGTTTGATATATCTGAACAGTTTACATAAGTTTGAGGATAAACCTATTTTCGGCATTGGACGGAGTGAATCTTTAAATAGACAGTTTATATCAGCCATTTTTTACATAACCTTCATAAATTTTCTTAAGCGCCGCGAATGATGGCCAACGTTCGATTTACTGTGACGTATAAGTGCACTAACTGCATGTGATTCTACACTGATGCTCATAAGTTAAGCAACACTATCTTATTTCTCGAATTTCTCAGCAACCAAAATTTTTATTGAGGCAAAATTTTTTACAATAGCTAGATATTTCTCTTGTTTTTACTTTGACTTACTGGACCGTGACATTAGAGTACTATTTACTGTTGGACACGATAGAATATGCAATGGGGGTGCCACTTGCGAAAAACACAGTTTGGCTATGCCATGAGGAGCTTCCAGTTTGGCTTGTTTCATGGGCACAATTTGTTATTTTGGACCAACCAATGGTTAGAAGAGGACTCAACGAGGTAATCAGATGGCAAATAATGGAAAGCCATCGTGCTGGGGTGCCAAAGAGACAGATTGCAAGGCAACAAAAAAGCAGCACCAAGTCAAGTGTCCAAGCTGGTAGCAAAAGGCGCCAAACTCAGCATGTATTGGACAAGCCTCTTTCTGGTAGACCAATATTAACCGACGCAAGAGATGAAGATATCTGGTTCGATTATGCCACAAGGACCAGTTCATTTCAGCCAAACAATCAAAAATTGCCACCATACGTCATTCACGGGAGGCGCCCTAGTCAACAATACAGAGACGAAATACCATTGGGGTGCATACAATCACACATTCAAGCAAATCCAGAAAGAAAAATCATTTTTGTGCAGGACAATGCGCCCATCCAGAAAGCATGGTCCGTGCAAGACGCGCTGCAACAGCGCGGTATCCCACATTTGGATTGGCCTGCATATTTACCAATTCTCAGTGTAATCGAGCATGCTTAGAATATGATTGACAGGGCAATAAATGAGAGACAGCCTCTAGTTAGAAACATTAGAGAGATCCAACAGGCAGTAAATAAAGAATGGAACCGGCTCTCAAAGCAAGATTGGCAGAATTTGGTGGCAAGTTGCTGGAGACAATGTGAAACTGTTGTTCAAAACCAGGGAAAGCACACCCGATATTTATTGCATAATAGGCGATTAATCATCTATTATCTACAGTCTTCTATTATTAAAACTAATTCTTAGATGATCAAACTTTATTTTTTCATAATAAGCTGCATTAATCAGCACGTACTTTTTGCTGTGTGAGCATACTTTTTTGACACATGGTTTGGCATATTTAAGTACCGTTTGGTTAATAAAGTCATTTTGATTATTACAATAAGCTGTGTGATGTATTTCTTTAACCAAAATGTTCAACTTGAATAAGTTCTTTATAAAATATGAAAGAAATATACATAATCCCACCAACAAATGAAATAATGATCATGATAGAAGAAACTTTTGAAAAAATCGGGGTGTTGCTTAACTTATGAGCATCAGTGTAGCCCTACTGGTGATGAAAAATGGTTGTCAAATCTTTTTGTTTTACGAGAAAGGTTTCATTTACAGTGTCGACGTCATAAACGGCGCTTCCATGGTACGAACTAAATCTGAAATGTAGCCAACTGTTAAAACATGAGTATCGAACGGCAGAATGAGCAAATATACGGCTTATTCTTTACAAACTTAAAACAACACAGACCTGACAAATAGTCTCTTACAATCGTGTTGCAGTTAAATCTAAAATATATGAAATGCAGCAATCACTAACATGAGTATAGTTCCGAATGGCAAAACTCGATCGATTCGAATGGTCTTCCAAGTTCAACAGTATGAAAACCACAGAAGGCGAAAAACGATGCGGCGGAAGCAAGCAGTGGTTTAAAAAGAATAAGAGTTCCTATGTAAAATTAAATGTCGTGAAATTAATACTTACTTACTTATCTGCTAATTGACCGTCACACTGTCTCTCAGTAGCCACTGGAAATAGTCACCTAAGTTATCAGCATGCATCTGCCGCTTCCAGATGACAAATCTTGAGACTTTCCAGTGACAGTTGAAACTCTGGATGGTACCCGTCTAGCTTGCTGGTAAGGGTGATGGTCTATGAATGTTTGTTTTTTTTTCTCTTAATTGATCTTCCAAGAAGTGTTGCATGCACAAGTAATTAACATAACACATTATTTGCAAATGATCCATTACTGAATTGAACACTGATGGTAATGGGCGTATCCTGCATATTTTCGTCCTAGCTGGGTTGCCTAGATGATCGGTAAATACCTGTAAAACCAATTAAAACTACTTTAGATTAATTACCACACTAGTATAAACCAATTTCATTTTTTTCCGTTATGCTGGGCTTTATAATACCACACTTGCCTAACATAATGAAAAAATTGAAGGTTGGTCAATTGTCTTCGTGCCACTTTTCTGTTTTCCAGATAAAATTTGCCGTCTTTCATGGATGGTCGATAAATCACGTGCGTTTCATAACTCCGTTTTTTTATATCTCCCTATAAGTATTGACAAACAAATTTCCAATGTGACATTTCATATGAGTTATTTAAGCCGCGTACTTATGTGCAAAATGACTGGAGTACAAACAGAATATTTGAGACCAATGCGAAGTGACTTGAAGATTTAATCGAAAGAACAACATCCCCTACTGACAGCAGAGGGGGAGAGTAACCTCCTTCACAACGCTCAGGACGCGCAGTATTGAGGTATAATCTTGTATTAAAACTAATTTTTCTATCTGATTATAATGAATAAAGACGAAAAAATAGTGATTAATATTCTGGTGAATAAACATCGCCTACAGTAGCCCAATAAACCTTTTTTTAGCATTCGCGCTGGCTAGGTGCAACGTCTGTTCTGCGCTACTCTGCGTCTACTCTGTTTAAGGTTGGTACATTTCTTTATCGTGTATTACCTTGATTTTATTACAACTTATGAGAAACTTAATCACAGTACCCAGGTGTGTTACTGACACCTGCGTAGCCAAATTGCCAGTGCACAGAATTCAAGAATTTATCAGGAAAAAAACACGTTAGTGTTTGGTATTTGCACCTGCGAAAGAGATTATCGACGAGGGGGTGAAGGTCAACAACTCCAGGCCCCTGCGTCTAGAGTGGCATGATCTTACAATTCGTGCTTCCTCTTAAAAAGTGCCAATATCTTTAGAGTGATCGGTGTCAAAATCGTGGTGGAATGTTTTCTTTAATTCTAGCGAACTTTTTACGCTGCTGAAATCGGGCATTGAGTCTTGTTGTACAGCGACTTGGGAGGTGATGGGGTAAGTTAATTCACTGCTAAGTTTTCTTTGTTTTATTCTTCTTTTCCTGAAATTCAAAAATGCTTTTCTGTAACAAACCTCGAGGAGGTAAAATTGGATTCTGAGTTGGTGACATCTTGCTTTCTTCACCGGATACTTTGCAAACGATGTTTGGAATTTCCGGAGAGGTATTTTATAAAGTGATAAGTTTTCTTCAGCTTTAACGTGAATTAATTGTGTTGAACTTGAAGCCACTAAAATTTCATAAGGGCTTCCTTGACTCTGTCTCTTTGTCTCATACTAACCAATAAAACAAAATCCAAACGGTTCTGTTTTGGTTAGACGTATATATTTCATTAAATCTAGATTAAATCAAGTTCCCACCAAAGTTCTAATCCGAAACACGTAAGATGTACAAGAAAAAAGTTTAAGAGTGTGTTTCAGACTATGGTGAATAGAGAAGCCATTTGTTTATATCTGACGATATGGCAATATGCAATCTTTGTAAAATAATTGTCAAAATATGTGACATAAGTAAATAAAAGTGTTAGAAAAGGAAGAAAAAGGCGAAATCACGGCTCACTACCAGACTTCTTGATATATTAGCTTGCAACAAGGGCAACAATGGTGTTATTTTTATTTTTCCCCCGTATAATTTTAACGGTAGTAGGCCTACAATGATATGAAAAATGAATTTTATCCCCAGACTGCACAAACAAGGATAGTGAAATGGGTCCAATATCAACCAGTTAAAGGAAGCGAAATCAGAAAGAACATTTAATGTGTGTAAAATCTAGCAGGTTTTCACTGAGATAGATAAGATTGACCAGGATGTGCGCATGTCACTCGACTTCTTCGTTCGTCCTGTCTTCTCAGATAAACATCTTAACTTCGTTAACTTGAAATCACGAGACAATCCCCGCACAGTCTAAACATCTGTGCATCTTAACTTCATTAGTCAACTACCCGGCACATACACACCCCCAGTGTTCTCCCCCCGTATAAAATGGTCTGATTGTGTGTGATAGCATCCATATCTGCTTATCATCCGCTGTATTAAATATGGAAAATACAATGACCATCTGAGGCCGCAGATTAGAACGACCAGATAGTGCAATAATATACCTGTAGATAGAGGACGGAGCACAGTTATCCTCCAAGAACGAAGCAGGAAGGGAAATTAAACGCATTTTCCATACGAGCAACGAAAAGTGGAATTCGAGTCCAAGTGGACTTTATTGTACATAGAGATCGGCGCTTTGGGGACTAACAACCAGTTTGGAAAGCATAGGTAAAGTATATAGTTTGATTGATTGTTAGACAAAGATGTGCAGATGCAAGGATTTGGCAATTTTTGTATTGTGGGGAAGTGCAAGGAGAGAGGCTATACTTTATAAATGGCCTTTTCAATGTACGAATTGTAGTTAATAGAGGAGAAAAGCCATGGCAAAGAAAGCCAAGAGCGCGTACAGGCTATAAATCTACTCCCAACACATACCTGTAAAAAAGTATACAGTATATCTGTCCTAATATGCTTCTTTTTCTAAGAGAAATATAAGGCTTTCATCAATATGATCTTTGTGATTCAATAAGATTCCAAATAATCGCTTTAGGCATTTAGAAATATAAAACGACTGCAGTGGATATGCATAGCTTTTCTCTAATGCCGCCAGGTGTCGTTACCTGCAATACACCTTCATACGGACGTCACTATAATCCACTTAATGTCACATTTATACCCGTATTACATCCATGAATTTATAAAGCCATGGAAAAAACACACGAACCTCTGTAACACAGGAGGAATCTCCCAATCAAAATGTTTGGCTTCATTTCAACTCCTTAACCCGTGAAATCATCCTTTATGGAGAGGGTAGAGGAGGTCGGAGTTTGATAAAAATGTACCGGTTACCCCTCAGCGCGCGGAATCCCTCCTCCCCTCCTTCTCTTATTTAGCTGCCTGTCAGTCAAACGTCGGGTGTTTATTTTTTATCAGGTTTGACACTGGGGTGAGGGTGAGATACTTAATATAACCTTAAACAGGGGAGCTGAATCGCAGGCACGTGACCCCCAGGGCGATATCGAATCGGTCTTCTATTGTTGTGTCAATAAGGGGCTCTCCTCATTAATGAGAGTAATGCTGCTGCTGCGAACAAATACACAGTCGCAGGCAGAGTGAAAGGACGCGTTTTGTGCAGTGCTCCTGTGACAAAGCAGTACACACACGGCTAATTTGTATCTTGTGTACTTGAAGACATTAGGGTGACCAAGACTTACGGAGTAGATGGACACGTGAATCACCAAGTCGTGTCTTTTCCATCCGTAGTAGTCTTGTTAACCAAGGATTATATCAGTATAGTTATTAGAACAGGTAGATTTATTGAAGACGCGGCAGCATTAACTTACCTGTGCTGACCGCTCGGATATTAGAACGTATTTAAATGACAGAAGCGGACGCGAGGAAAAAAGGACGCTAATAAGTACATGAAATTGGGACTTGGGTTAAAGGACAGCCATATGAAAAGTGGTGGTATTTACGACGACAGCGGCGTCGAGCGCGAAGACGAAGGCGGACGCCAACTGAATGGCCCATTCGGGCAATAAAATGGACAGTTTGCTCGGACAGCTGAGGCAATCCGTGGTATGTATCGAGACAGCTTGTATTTTACTTGTACAGAATGCTCAACGTCTGTTGCTCATTGCATGATGATAAATTTTTAATCACGAAAGATAAATGGCTATAAATAGTGGGAATCAACTCGCGAGTCTTATACCTTATTTCACTGCAAGTTCGATCTCCGCCCTTCCAGTGTTAGAGGTGTTGTCAAGTTGAAGATGTCGTTCATTACTTCACGGTAAGCCTAGCTTTACTCGACAAACAAGATAAAACTCCTGGGGGAATTAGACACTTATCGACACGTTGCTGGTATTTTCTTAGTTTTTTATCCTGTTTAAATAACAGCGTATGTTTTGTAAAGGTATAATGTGAGAGGTTTTGTTGGTCGGTTTGGTGACTGTCCACTTGTGAAAATTTGCTGGCGACGGCCAAGGTGAATTTTTTATGGTCTCAGTGTTTCTAGTAAAAATCAATATCATGTATTTTTGACGATGTGGCGTGATTGCTTGTACATTAATTTATTCCCCGTTTATAATGCAGATTGCACAGTTTTCTACAGCTAATGTGCTCATATTTTGAGTCAAAAGTTCAGGTGCTTATTAACTATTGCAGAAATTTAGCAAAATCACGAGAATGCGGGCACCAAAAGGTGATAGATTTTGTTCACGTGTCAGAATAGTGGCATAGGTGAAGTTTTCAGTGAATTGCCATCATATCTCAATGGCTCAACACTGCTAAGAAGGGAATGAGTGTATAATAAATGATAGGCGACACTAGTGAGTTGACATTGCTATGGACAATTTCTGTCAAGAACACTACAGTGAAGGATGCTTTGCAGTTGAAGTAGGATGAGCTGGCTTTAGATTACACCAGTTAGAACATGTCAGGTCTGTAAGGAAACAATTCTTGTGCGTGCCATGGCGTGTAAGTCTCATGACTTTTAACAATGAAATTGAGCCCTTTTTTTGGCAGATGGCGTGCGATACGAGCCCTGCTGGGTGAATTGGTTTTTAATTGCAGTTGAAATGTACTTTGTTGTATTCAAAGAAAGGGGTTGTCGTCAAGATTCTCTCTCTCTCTCTCTCTCTCTCTCTCTCTCTTTTGAAAACAACTGAGCACCCCTTAACATCAACTAAATCTCACAAAGTGATTTATCAAGCGAGATAGATAAGTTAAGATTTAATGGGACAACAACAGCCACAGCTTGTGAGAAAATTACGAGCAGTAGAACTTGTTTTCGTGTCTTTCTTTTTTCTTCCTCCGCCTCAAACGTGCAATTTAAACAGCATTAGCAATTATCTGAAGACGGGCACACAAAAAATAACACTTTTCACAAAGGCCTTCAAAGTGCAGCGATGCCATGTACAGGTTTTCCCAAATAATGCGAATTCTTTCCGCCCATGATTCCTGTTAAAGGGCCAACGTAACGTCACCAATGTAGCAGTTATCGGCACTTGAAAAGAGATACGATAAACGGGGACATAACACCAGTTTCGGGTAACCGCAGGTAGACATTAAATGTGAGGATATCTCCTTTCCATCTCATTCTCTCTCGCATGAATTGATGGAATTGTTCCCTTGATTGCACGATCTGGTGGGAAATCAGTAGAACGTGACCGCGTGTGCGCGTGATCGTCGTACGAAAGATGACGGCAAGATTTTTTCAAAAGATATGGCGTTTTTTCTCAAGCCTGTTGTCTTAGGTGCGGTGTCCATCTGACAATAAGGGAGTCAATTCATGTGGATATAGATAACTTCCCTTTCTCCTTATTCGTATGCGTATAGATATGACCATTCAAATTCTTAACAACCAACGGTCTGAACATGATCTAGGCGATGTGCTATTAACGTAGCTTGATTAAGTGACACTTAGCGAAGTGAAAGAAGCGAGGAAGGCCACTTTTCTCCTTGCCCCCGTCAAATTATACTTTGTATATTACCTCAACCGACTTGGCGGTTCCGTTAAAGGAAATGTATACGTTCAGCACTGTATCCGTCGAATAATTGAGACGGAAATCACTGAGGAAGCGTTCACGATAACCGAAGAAATAGAATCCCGCTTTTCTGTTCACGCTAATGAAGGAATTCTCCTCTCAAGTGACAGTTCTTTATGCATTGCCTAATCCAAATGAAACCTGTATGTCGGCGCTCTAATTAGTTTTCTCCTGAAGAAAGACTTTATTATTATTGATTTTTAAGGGAAGACGCATCAAACGTAACCTGGTAATTAGACAGGTGTCAGATAGCGAAGCCATTTAAAAGAAATAACAACTGAAATCTTGGATTGAATGAAGGGAGGGTTTGGGAAGAGCGAGGGGGGGGGGCACCGAGCCAGAGCGACGGGACGACTATGTTTAAAAATGTTGACGAAAACAATTTTAAAAATCAATCCGTATCGCCACAACAAACAAAATAAATAGACAGATGAGTAATAATTGTGCATTTAAACATTATCGGAAAATAAAATGCCCTTCTTACAAACCCAAACATGCGTCACGAACTACACGTCGTTGAACAAATTTCGATAAAACGTCGGGTGTTACGTGCACTGCACTCGAGAGAGGTGAGCAAGTTTTTAGATCAATGCTTACTTCACATGGGGCCCTACACAGAATAGTCTGCGGTTGAGCTCGTTAAATATCCAAATTTGAACTTCAACACGGACCACCCCCAGTCGCAATCAACGCCATCATTAAAATTAATGAACCCCTATTATAAAAGCATTGTTACATGGCGCTGCGTCAATTCAACAACAATGGCGTGGATTGTATTGATTTCTTCGCGGATCATTTCACGTTTAATACTAACTGCACTGGCTGCCTGGGTAATAATGTAGCTGCACTTCACTTTTGCTGTGCCATCACCCGGGCTCTGTGTCTGGGGCGTGGGTGCTTGGCCGGTCATATTGGATCGAAGGGAGTGGGGTTCAGGGTGAAGGGGGCGGGGGGCGGGGGTGCACTCAGAGGCCCTATATTGTGTACCTAACGGCTGTGTACCATCTGGTTATATTGGTGCCTGGGTGAGGAGCGGGGGATGAGGGGAGGGGGGAGGGGAGAATACAAGAAACCCACACGTGTGGTCTGGTTATGTAACTGAGACAGATCATGAACTTGGAGACCTTCGTGATTTTGAGACCCCCCACCGTAAGCCGCTCTCCCTCTCTCTGGTTGTCAGACCCTCCCCGGCGCGAAGTGTACGTATTTGCGTTATGCGGGCTGATGCATACACTCATTAATAACCTTTATGAAGACCGTATCATTAGTGTCTGTTGCATTTTCCTCCTTACTAAGGCCAATACATTGCAATCCTTAGTGGGAGGTCCATACAAAGTATTTTTCACTTTGTGGATGACTCCTGCGGTGGCTTGTCATTCTATGTAAACATTTCGAAGGCGAGAAACATTAATTCATATCCATGTAGTGCTAACAAAGGTATAGACTACGCCGAGAAGCTCTGAATGACCCTTTTATCGTTATGTCTCCCCTGTACCCCCTCCGTCTATCCCCCCCTTCAACGCCCCTTTACGTGTTATCATGCCCCCACCCCCTGGGTTTGGGCCCAAAGTTCAGTTTTACCAGAAATCTTTAGCCTAAAAATTGGTTCTGAACTTTTTGATAAGGTTTATTTTAGTTCAAAACAGAATCTTACGTAGACCAACATTAGTCCCCTATAATAAAATTCGTATTGGTGTAAAGCATTTGCCATGCCTTTCTCTAAGTAAAAACAACCAGGAGAATAATAATTGGCCAACCATTGATTATTTTCGGGTTAAAGACTAAAATTTAGATCTTAAGATAAGACCAGTTTTTCGTTAAAGTTCTTTTGTGAGACAGCCCCCCCCCCCCATGTCAGTACAATGACCGATGCCCAGGGGTGTAGTCCCAACTCGGACACCCATGCCTGTTTTGTGTACTGGCAGTTCGACCTAGCGTACCTGGGAAAATCCCACGAGTGTAACCCTAGAAGTCGATACTAAAAGTTGTTACACTGAGTTCCCTGAAAACAAAAGACCCAAACGTGATCACAATGGCTCCCTGTGTCAAAGCTGTCACCGCGGTTAGCCCTGCTGTTATTTTTGCGGTGAGCCGTGTGTGGGGTAACCCTACACTCCGAGTGCCTTCGCTTTTATCCAACGAGACATGTATTATGGGACCGAAGTTGTCTGCAAACACTTCAGCCCGGTCTACCTGCATAGCAAAACATTGAAGAACAAATATTGCCAACCGCATTGAAACTAAAAGAGTCATTTTGTTCACGGGAGAAGAACATAACATTTTTGTTTTTTGTTTAGTTTCTATTATTATCTTTTGTCGGAGTTATTTGCGTCTGTTTCTGTCCTTGTTGGACGTCTTGGTGCATAGTTATTGATATAAAATGGCGCCGCTGTTTTTGTCAGTATAAATCCAGTGCAAAGTTTGTGGCAGGATCATTTAAGCGATCGAAACGGTCTCCAAGTTGAACTTGTTCAGTGTTTTGACCATCCAAATAGAGCTTTCAGTTTACAACGATATTTTGTTTAGATTTTGACCATAATCTGTGCTTTGGCAATCTTTCGGCCTCTATCGTCTGCGCCAGATAAAATCAAAATGTTATGTTAACACGTCGTTTTCCGCTATCAATATGACCCATATCTTTTGTATTATAAATCCATGTTCGAAATATGTTATCATTTTCCCTCTAAGCTTTGTCAAGTGAAGGTTTTAGTCCATACTAAGGGATAGGTCCGAAACTGATACCTCCATGACTATAAATTAGGAGATAATGGAATGGACATTGTCAAAGGTGGTGAAATTAATGTACAATAAAAACATGGTGACAACAGCCTTTGTGCACACCATAATCAGTACTAAACGTAACATTACCTCTGTAATATGAAATATAATTACGATAATTAGGCATACACGTAATACCTATAATTTGTCGTTAACATTAGTTAAGCGACCCTCACATTATAACACAACGACTTTAACAACAGGTGTTTTGAGCCAGAAGCATGTTTTGTGACGGCCACTAAATTAGACAGA